TTTTAGTGTCGCATTTGTAAATCACATCATTATTTCATATGGAAGTTTACGATCACTAAGTCAGAATATATTCCAATTTTTGTTTATTAATTTACTCTAAATTTCTCCATAAATGCCAAGTTATTTTCCTTGGGAGACCTAATTCTTATGCATATTTTTGTAAAAACATTTTTCCTTGAGCCCTTGGCACCAAACGCATTTCTAGCACTGGTAAATAAAAGCCCCCAAGCTTTTACAATAACATGCAGAATGGTAAGTAACGCTTCACATTCATTCCTCACTTTTCTGACTGTTGTAAACTTTCTTCGGTTTCTTTTCTAAAGCCAAGTTCCTCTGTCTTCTGGAAGCAGTGTCTCTCTTATTTGTTTGCAGTCACTCACCTCTCCCTTAGATGTTGCATGTGCACTCTGGTGACAGTTGCTATTGCTTTCCCTGCTGCTGTTGATGGATTTGAGCTCTTGATGGATCTTCTTTTGTAAGTGGAATGACTGCTGTCTTTCACAAAATGGATTGTGTGTGTGTGTGTGTGCGTGCGTGCATGCGTGCGTGTGAGTGTGTGTGTGTGTGTGTGTGTGTTACTGGGGATGGGACCCAGGGCATTATACATGCTAGACACTGAGTTACAATCCCACAGTCTACATAAGCAGAATTTGCAGAAGAAGCAATAGGAACTTATTTTCGTAACCTCCTTGTCATCTAATTAGAACTCTACTTGCAGATGTTTCCAACCTGCAGTTCCTAGACTGCATGTGCCCCAGAATAGCTGTGAGTGTGGCCCAGGACAGAAATCATAAACTTACTTAAACTATTATGAGACTTGTTTTTACAGTGGTGTATGTGTGTTTGTGTGTGGGGTTGTTTGTTTGTTTGGTTGGTTTGGTTTTGCTTACAACTTTATTGCATGGTTCTGAAGAGTGAACCTTGTAAATGACAGCGTCTTGTCACTGAAAGGGTGGATACTCCTGCATCAGTTTATGGGATGGCTGGGGAATCTGTCTGTTGTCATTTGTAGTTAGCGCGAACCTCTGCAGGGCCAGCCAAGGTGGGTGTTTATCTCCTTGTGAATATTCAGTGCAGGTTGTGAGGCATGAAGGAAGGATCCCATTGTACTATAATGTCCCCATAACTATATATTATAATTCTAAGTTCCTTTGCTATGAAGAACTGTTTTCTCCCAGATTTTGAATATGTAATATGTACATATGGATGAAAAATCAAAACTCAAAATACAGAGAAGGGAAGGCAAATATCTAGCCTCTTTCTCTTGGACTTCTTTCTCTTGGAAGGATTTTGTGATTATTTTTTCTTTTAATCTTTTTTTTTTCATTTGAATTTCTCAAAGCTGGGTTAGCCAGGGGTGGTGTGAGAGAAAGAGAAAAGGCTAGTTAGGTAGGTTGCCATTCCTCAGGGCTCAGGCTCAATCATGCAGGGTAGGTAGGTGTGTGTGTGTGTGTGTGTGTGTGTGTGTGTGTGTGTGGTGTTCATGTTACTGTTTCCGAGGCTCCAGGAGCTGGGTTGTCTTGTTCTGTGATCTCAAGGTGGGTGGCCAAAGCTGGGACCATTAATCTCAGTGAATGTTGCCACAGCGCTGGAGCTGGGAGCCAGGTGAGAGACGCGAAAACAGCCCAGAGTCCGTTTCTGTGTCTCAATGGTAAAAGGACTAGAATATGAACAGGTACCAACGTCTTTCAGAGTTCTACCAAAGGCAAAAATAGAAGTCAGTTCTGTTTTAATAGTTTGAAGTAGAGTCTGAACTAGGCTAAGGCGGCTACCAAAATGAAAGGGGCTTGACATCATATCTAAGAAATGAGGCCATGAGGCAGCACTGCGCAAGTCCCCTCTTGCCTCCTGCTGGATCCAGGAAGCCCATGGGACTACAGCTGGCTGGGAGCTAGAACTAGTATTAGCGTATTGACCTTACTCTGTAGCTTAAAAGAGGTATCTTCTTTTTCTTTAATCTATTATGGCAAAAATGATGTTTTTCTCATTTCAGTTTACTACCATGAAAAATAAAAACTTATGACTGTCTAATGTTAAAAGACTGGAATGAGCTGGGCATGGTGGTGCATGCCTTTAATCCCAGCACTCAGGAAGTAGAGGCAGGTGGATATCTGTGAGATCGAATCTAGTTTGGCCTACATAGCAAGTTTCAGGCCAGGTGGGGCTACAGGACCACCTTGTCTCAAGACAAAAAAAAAACAAAAAACCAAAGAAACAAAACAACAACAAAACACATGTACACACAAACAGACACATACACACATACATATGTACACACAGACACACTCACAAACCACCTCAGTATCTAAAGGAGTTACTTTAGATACTGTT